ATAAAGTCAATCGATAGTTGGTCAAGAGCAATCCGCCGTCGTCTTCTTGTGGAAGCGACCATAGAATCTCTTCACCCAACACTTTTACTCAAATGGAAGTAAACACAACAATTGTGAAACAAGCCCTTCTTACAAAAAAGTAGTCTTATCTGGTGTCCATACTTCATTGACACCACCAGCGGGACTCGACCCCATTTTGTGGTAAGGCAGTGTAGAGTCCCTAAACGTTGACCACTACGCCCCACTGTCACAAGGGCCCTTGAGTCACTGGGCAGAGGTGAATTTCAAGAAAATCTGGCCCTTTTTTATATCATATTTCCACCAGTAGCCCACATGACTACTTATAAGATGGGCTGTCGATTGATACAGCAACTACTAACTGCCTCGGTAACAATCCCACCATGTCATTGTGATATGGGGAAGGCCTAGGTTTTCTTGAAATTCCCTTCTGCCCTATGATTCAAGGGCTCCTGTGGCAGTATGGCGTAGTGGTTAACGTGTCGAGGCCACACCGTGCACTGCCCGAGTTCGAGTCCCGCTTTTGGTGATGATGAGACAAGTTCAGACGAGGCAAAAACTGCATTCCACTCCTGTCTGGATGGGAATATGTTTCGGAAAGCAAGTCTACCTGAAATCGAATAGTAACAAGATGTTTATTCATATCATTGTGGAAAAATTAAATTACCAGTCCTTCATCAGATTTACTGGTAGTCCTGAAAACCTTTTTGTAAATGGAAAACACATTCTTTTTGCGTGTTACAGACCACGTGCCTCTCGAATCACAAATATTGTAGGATTGTCGATGTGGTAAACTTGTGTTTTTCGTTTGAAAGTAGGCTTTCGAGACCTAGACGTGGTTGAAACTGCAGTCCTCCCTGGATGATAATATCTTTTGGGAAGCTAGGTTATGTGAAATTTAATCGAACTGCGAGGTCCATTCATGTCATCGTAGGAAAATTCAACTACCAGTCCCCCTAGCACCTTGAAGAAATAGGTTGAATACGCCTCAAGTCCACATAAAAGTGACCATAACTATAACCAACACAAGCAATATTAGTGGAGTCGCCTAGTTTTCAGCCAGTTCAACACCCTCTTTGTCCTTAAGTCTATTAATTAAACATAAGTTGTGCTTACTTTACTTCTTCCCGGTATTCCTTATAATTAATGTGTTGCTAGTCGGTTTGCTTCCAGGGCCTTTTTAATTTTACGCTTGACATCTTAAATATGGTAGCAAGAATAGACTCCCGCTCCGATGATGTTTGTCATTTTGACAAATAAAAGCTCAGACGGTTGCCCAGGAGATGGAGTCTAAAAGAATGTTCTAGTGCAATCAACTGGCAGTTAGCCAACCGGAATCCCTCATCGTCTTCTAATTTCTTCATCAACCACACTTTCAGCTTAAATGGAGGTCAGCTCAACAATTATGAACCAACTTCTTTGCATAATTCACTCTTATCAATCCCTAGTCCCCTTTAAGCGACCTATAGTGACTACTTTTTCTTATATGAGTAGGCTTTATAAATATTCCAGCAGCCTATTTCATTTTGGGGATGAGATGACTGATAGTTAAACTAATCCATAATGTTACGAGTAGACATGACGTGTCCTTGTGTTCCCAAGGTGGAAGGCAGTCTCGACCTCGCCTAGATCTTATCAATACTTCCAGCGGGACTCGAACCACGACAGTTTAGCGTATAATCTCGATACGTTAGTCACTACGCCACATTGCCACGAGTGCCCTTGGGTCACAGAGCAGATGTGGATTAAGGGAAGATCAGGCCTTTTCCCAGATCACCTTCTGTAGCTGGGCTATCGAATAAAGAAAGTTTTATTTGCTATAGCAATCGATTGCGTTATTTATTTTTTGTCTATAATGGACTTTCGAGGAGCATACATATTAGATGCATCTATGCTTTTTCGTTTGGTCACTCCATAATGACTAGGCTCCGTCATCTTTTCGAGGCTAGTAGAGAGGTGTGATTGGCTGATAACAACCTAGCCTGCCTGTGTCGCCATCGCTATGGACCAATCAGCTGTGAGCGTAAAGCCCTGTTGGCGTGCTATTGGTCGATCGGGGGACTGGGACAATTCTGAGTTGGTGTTGATTGGACGGTCGGAGAAGTTGGGCCAGTGGCAGGGCGATGGGAAAAAGCAGCAGATACGATAGGTCCGTGAGAGATTGTTCTTTTCCTGTACGCAAGCTAAGCTTGTCGGCATGTCCAGACGGGAATGTCGACCTGGCCCCGCTGGGGGCCGATTCATGATGCAACCGGGCACAAAGCAGTAGACATGACACGGGCAGATGAGAGGGCACCAATGGCGTGAGTTGTCAGGGCCATTCTTTGTAATCGACTCAAAAGTGAGTTCGTTCACTAGCCTTTCTTTGGCTCTCGCCGACCCTCCTATCCTGAGCATGTGTTCAGGGCGTTGGGAAAATTTAGTCTTGAAACCTACTTATTTCGAAAATGAGTAATGCCATCGATTACAGTGGAAAATATATGTTTGATTAGTCGACAGTTTCTCCAGAAAATGTTAACTGCGAGGACCCTCTCCTGCTGTTGATATCCCATCTGCTCTGTGACGCCACTCATAATCCGATACCGAATCCCACGGAAGATGCTGATGAAAGGCGATGAGGCGAGGTTGAAACTACCGTCCAACCTGGAGGATATAAGCTCTAGAGAGGCACAATGAAGCCTTTGTGAGAAAAATTCAGTCTCTTAATATACTTCTGCTCACAGTTGCTCACTCCAGAGTAATCCACTTTGTCAACCTTGCCAAGTTGTGTAGCGAGGAAGGTGAAGAATGTTGGCTTTTCCTTTGTCATCGCTTTGATATCACATTTTTTTAGTAACTGCCGCAATTTTTGTTTCTATTCACACGAGGACAGGCATATCCAATTTAGGTCGTCCTCCCGATTCCTGACCTTATTTTCATAAAATCATAGTTGAACTCTGCTCTTTATGACCTCTATATTTGTTTCTATAAATTCACTGGTGTGCCTGTTGCTAAGATAAATCCTAGTCAATTTGTTCAACTCCTCGTCCCAGAACACTATGTTTATTAGTCTTAAGCTTGTAATAATCAAACTCCTCAGTAGTTCGATCTTCATTCTGTAGTTGTGATGAGATTGGAGATTGAGGATTCTTTCTGCATATGATTTCTTTCCGAATGGTCTTCGTTGAAGCGAATGACCCAACATCCAGAGAAGGGTAGTCGTTTAACCTTCTCCACATCCATTGTAAATTTAATTTTTCCATCAAGTTTTTTGTAAAGTTGACGAACTCATTCAAATTTGCCTTAACATGCGAAAAAAGTACAAAGAAGCTGTCTTGGTTACAGCTATGACTTCTCGAATTCATTTGTCCTTGTATCCATTTGCCAAGAGAGATGAGAGTGGAGATCCTTTTGGCAATCCAAATATTTGCTCATAGATATTTCCTTTGAATGTATAATATGGGATCAGTACAATCGGGTTGGTCAGTTGTATTAATGAATTCTTCCGTATCCCATATTCCTCGAGAAGATTTTTGTATATGATTTCTTTCCGAATAGTCTTCGTTGAAGCGAATGACCCAACATCCAGGAAGGGTAGTCGTTTAACCTTCTCCACATCCATTTTAAATTTAATTTTTTCATCAAGTTGGTATATAAAATGAACGAACTCATTCAAATTTGCCTTAGCATGCGAAAAAAGTACAAAGAAGCTGTCTTGGTTACAGCTATGACTTCTCGAATTCATTTGTCCTTTGTTACATTTGCCAAGAGAGGTGAGAGTGGAGATCCTTTTGGCAATCCAAATATTTGCTCATGAATATTTCCGTTGAATGTGAGGCAGGTGAAGAATGTTGGCTTTTCCTTTGTCATCACTTTGATATCACATTTTTTTAGTAACTGCCGCAATTTTTGTTTCTATTCACACGAGGACAGGCATATCCAATTTAGGTCGTCCTCCCGATTCCTGACCTTATTTTCATAAAATCATAGTTGAACTCTGCTCTTTATGACCTCTATATTTGTTTCTATAAATTCACTGGTGTGCCTGTTGCTAAGATAAATCCTAGTCAATTTGTTCAACTCCTCGTCCCAGAACACTATGTTTATTAGTCTTAAGCTTGTAATAATCAAACTCCTCAGTAGTTCGATCTTCATTCTGTAGTTGTGATGAGATTGGAGATTGAGGATTCTTTCTGCATATGATTTCTTTCCGAATGGTCTTCGTTGAAGCGAATGACCCAACATCCAGGAAGGGTAGTCGTTTAACCTTCTCCAAATCCATTGTAAATTTAATTTTTTCATAAAGTTGTTTTGTAAAGTTGACGAACTCATTCAAATTTGCCTAAGCATGCGACAAAAGTAAAAAGAAGCAGTCTTGGTTACAGCTATGGCTTCTCGAATTCATTTGCCAAGAGGGGTGAGAGTGGAGATCCTTTTGGCAATCCAAATATTGCTCATAGATATTTCCGTTGAATGTATAATATGTGATTAGTACAATCGGGTTGGACAGTTGTACTAACGACTTTTTCCGTATCCCATCTGCCTCGAGGATATCCTCTCTCGTTCTATGATCTTTAGTAGGCTGGTGACTGCCTTCTCGTCTGAGATGTTCATGCAGATTGATTGTGCGTTAAAACTTACCAACATTTACCTCCCTACGAGTCCAATGCTTTGGATGCTTTGAGAAAATT